GGTCACGCCTTCTTTAGTCTGAGTCCGCCCAGATCATGCGGATAATAATCCCCGCTGCCTTTGAGCTCGTGCCCTGTCTCGCCTGCAGCTCTGTGACCAACGTTCGCGCCGTTGGGTCTCTATAAAGGGCATGCTGCTCGAATACTGAAAATCAGTCGCACTAAATTTCGGGCTCTCCGGTGGGTTTGCCTGCTGTCTTCTCAAGAGTAGATTTACTAGAATCTACATATTAGTAATTGAACGCAATTTTTCATGAGTTCCAATCGCGGACCCTGCTGTTTTCAAGAGTGAACGAGCCTCTGAAGATAAAGTGGATTGTCGAGGTTGTTGGCTACTTAATTGTTCATTGGTCCCTAGACTTATCAACATCCCATTTATATTCGAAGATTTACTTTCTCATGTTGATTAGTGCTACTAACCCACGTGAATTCAACAGCTATTTTCATAGCAGAAGAGCTGAATTTCAATGACTTGTGTACTTATGAAGTTATATGCAATTGTCTGCGCTGATCACATTATTTTTTATTCTCCAGCCTTTCTCTTCTTGCAACCTCGGCATGTTAGTAGTGAGTGTTTTAATATTCTTGTGCCTTACGAGGTTGTTAGGTGGAACATTTATTAAAATGGCCTAACGTTTCGACTTAATCGTCGTCTTCAGAGGCCAATGGTTCCACCGTTTCAAGCGGATAGGTCCGCTGCCACACTAGAGCGCTATTAGTAGAAAAAAAAGTGTGGAGTAACTAGTATAAATGCAGTATATATGTATAATATGTCCAGTGTGAGGGTGAATTGTGTTGCGGCAACAAGGGGCGGAGTTATGGAGCCTGGGCGTGTAATGGTGTCCATTGTATGCAATATATGTGCGAGGGGCGCTTCGGCGCGACGCGTTCAGACTTCGCGATGGTAGCGCTTCGACGCGATCGATGCAGTTGAAAGCATGCGCATCGATCGCGTCGAACGCGCGACCGAAGCGCTGCCGTCGCGAAGTCTGAACGCTGCCTAGTGCTTGCATCTGCATGCTTTCTCGCTCGCTGCTTCCTATTCTCTCAACAGCAGACGCACCTCCCTTTGTCTCTATTCAACGCCTGCTCGTCCAAAGCTGAAAATTGATCGAACCCTATATTTGGGACGCTTTTGGCGGGTTTTATCATGGTAAATTGATGAACGGAGTTGGACGGGGGTGATGTAATGACAAGAGGCTCGCTTGCGAACCGCGCACGATCGGTGATCAGATTCCTGACTGACTCCGCCAAAGCCAGCCAAGCTTCCTGCCAAGGGCGACGGTAACTTTGTAACAGATCCGTTTGCGAGGATAATGACCCTGAGTTGTATTACTTCGACTAGCCCCGCAAGTAATTTTATAGGGTCCACTACGATTCTGAGTTGAAAAGGAGTGCGTGCTGCATCTTAAAAGGGATTAATCGACGGGTGAAGCTTCATCATTGATCCTTCGTGCCATTTTGCACTTACAAGGGCACATTCGAACCGCACGACGTGCTGTCGTGTGATATTTTGTGAAGTTTTTGCTGCACGACGCCGCGAATATGAACGGTTACTCGAGCATTCAACTCATCAGGAGGGAAAGCACATCAGTGGCATTATGTCGTGCACGAGATTGTTATTTTGTATTAATGAGTGAAAGAGCAGCAGTGTACTTACAAGTATTATGTAATGAAAGTCATGCAACAGACTTGGAAAAAATATTTCAGGCGAAGGGTCCAGTCTCGTTGGGGGACTTCCATTAAAAGCTCCTACATGAGAATGGGGAGGTGCAGGGGAAGGGCGAGACCCCCCTCCCTCACTCCAACACTGCGGCGCCACAAAACCGCTCCATAACCACTGTTTTCGTTAATACTGAGAGTTGGTTATAGAAACTGATTGGTGGCGACCCCCCCCCTTCCCTTGCGCCAATTCGATAGGTTCTCCAAAAACTGGGAAAATTCGGGATTTGGGATACGACCTCACCATCAAATCATCAGTTCCGTCCTCTGATGCGACTTCCCCGCTAGCTATACGCCACACCATCTCCCCTATCTCTCCCAACCTGCTACCATTTTCCGAACTTTTTTTGCTGGAATTCTCAAATTTTCCCCTAAAAACCTGTGCTAGCGAGTGGAAGTGGGGGAGGAGGGCGTGGAAAAGGGGGTCATAGCGCACTCGAAACGGAACAAAACCGAGAAATGTCAGCAACCGAAAACATTTTTCCTTAATGGCAAATAGGAACTACTCCCTCCAACGGCCAAATACGACCCCCATCGCTGGGGATCCACAAGGTACGGCGGTGCGCTGGCTCTGTCGCTTGATGACCTCACTGCAACTATTAATTAGAGCGCGATAAAGTATAGTTTTTGCGTATTAGACGACATATCTGCAGTATTTTTTTTGAAGAAGAGAACACTAGATGGTGAACGAAGTTCTTTCTGTCAAATAGGTGAAAGTTGCGTTGAGTTTAACCTGAGCGTGTAATGTGCCCGTTCGTGATTGTTCGTGATGAAGCGAAACAGCTATCTATAATTAAGGGCTTCCTCGACGCTTCAATGCTTTATGAACGAGAAAGGGCATTCACACACTATGAGACGTTGCTGGATGAAAATATTACTGTCCATATTTCCTAACTACTATGATATCATAGTTTGAATTTTTTCAAGTTGTGTCATTGCACAGCTGGCGCTATTTCTACTGGCACATTCCGTATAAACAGCTGACACGTTCATTACGTTTTGTTTAAACTTTATTTCTGTTGTAACATCTGCCCGTCTAGAGTCGATTTTCTGAATCTCGTGTTTTTCTCGAAGAGATCTTTTTTGGACTTTCCGAAAAATACTTATTGATTTTTTTGTTGCGGATGGAAGCGGTTGCAAAGTTTGACAACTTTTCGAAGCTCACAAGACCCTTAGCTGTTTCCCCTGTTATTTGATAACTTTTTGAAACCCACAACGCCCTTAGCTGTTTCCCTGTTGGTCTTGTAGCTACGGTAGATCAAGTGGGTTCACTGGCGCCAGTTTTTTGAACAAGTCCACGGGTAGGGTACCTGAAGGGCATTTTGTGTAAAATTATGATTATGGTCATGAGAAGCCCCATCCGCACGAGAAAATCGGTTGTTCTACCCCACGGCTCCGCTCTCTACGCTTATGTGAAAATCCACTTTTCCACTTCAGCTATCCCAATTATACGCAGGGATCCTTAAAATGCCCTCCACTAGCGAGCTTGTCTAATATTTTTTGCTATTACTTTGGTTCTAGATGCGTGTTTCCCGTGGGACCCGTAAGCTCGCATTTTGAGAGCGGGATTGTCGCCCTGGAATCTTTTCCTTTCACAAGCGAAAATTACGAGGCGTCGCGGATTCTGCGACGTATGCTTGACCCTACTCAGGCGTATTGGCCCAAGCGAGCCCTCGTCAACTGGCAGTCATGCCGTCGGCTTATCCTTTTGTCCCCTATCCCGTGTCTCTGGTCCATGGCTCATTCTGCCGTTAAGGGAAAATTTTTTGCACCCCCTTTCCCCCATCCCCCATTTTACCTACTTTACCTCTTTTCCACACAAGTTCCCCGGGGTATATAGCGCGTAGGTGGTGTACTGTCAAGTGGCACGCTTAGCACATGCGCGTTGTGGGGTCACATTCCAGATCGGCTCCCTCCCCATCCGACCAGATCTTCCACCCTTTAAAGGCAGTTGGCACGATGGTTTCCTACTTAGCCTAAAATGCTAGTAGGGCGCTGTATAGTGGGGAAATGGCGAAAGAACGGAGTGAAACGGTCAAAATCCTGCGAAGAAAAAGCCTCCGTTCTCAGTGACTTGTAAATCGATTTCGGACGAGTTTCCCGTAGGCATCTTACCAATCACCGCTACCGATACGGCTGCATATGTGTACCCATGTATGCATGCAGCATCACGGCCGCTTCATACCAATCCCTTCGCTTCATAATTTGCTTAGCAAATGAATGAATACGAGCGTCAGGAACGGTCGTCCATTTGTGGGCGGGCGGGCGTTTGGGACGTAAAGTTGTGGCTTGATAGGGCCCTTATAAGGGCACCTTCCTCGGGGAAACCGCTATGCAGCGCCTGCCCAGGGTCGCGGAATTCTATCCTGCCAGGAGTATTGATCCTAGTCGTCTTTAGGGATTTATCGTGCCAACTGCCTTTAAGGACGGTAAATTGTTTCCACACTCTGGGAGGATAGAATCGCTGACATTTGGCATCGGCTCCCCCCCCCCCACCGCGGCACGTCTTTGTATAGGTCTTGTTGCATCCTATAAGCCGCTGTGATTCTGAATGTGAGCAGAATGCGTGCCGAATTGGAAGATTCAAGGGTATCGACGTAATGCTATTACGTATCTATTCGAAGACTTGGACTTGCAAGTGCTAGTGATCCCAGTCCGTGTCACCGTTTCCAATGTGGTTCAGGACATCCCAGTCGCGGCATCGCGACTAGCACAGCATTTTCTTGCTTGTTGGTTCAACGCTTGCTTGCACTGTCCCGTGAAAAGGAGGGTCCTGACGCGAGCACGTGGTACCGTCTGCAACCACTTTTTTTGCCGCAACTCGAATGGGCTGGTTATTGTAGGCATGTTTATCTAACCGATAATTGCTATTAATTAATGTATATAGGTGTAACTGCTGTTCGTCCAAGTAAGTTAACAGTTCTTTCGGTGATACTCTTTGGAGAATGAATGAGATTGCTCCACAGGACACCTCCGCTAATTAGATGGGAGTCATTTCACGTATTTGTTCTTTAATCGCAAAGTTCTTGTGTACTTTGACAAGGAGCGCATTGAAGATGTTGTAAATGTGAGGCTTAAGAATCCACAGGGTACAATTACTGAGAACTAAAGTTCTTTCTGAAATGTGCTTCATTGATACCTTTCATATGCAATTTATACAATAGAACTCTAATGTCATTTTATGTTTTTACATCCTTCTAGCATCTTCTTAATTTAATGAGGACTAAATACAGTAGCCATCAGATCGTATCCTACTTTCAGGTTTTCAAGCAAAAGCAAATGGACTTGATGGCACATTTTGAGCGCGCTCAACAAGCGCTAAATGTACAACATCTCCAGCAGTACTATCAAGCATTGCAACAACAAGCACAGCAGCAAGCACAACAACAAGCCGCCGCAGCCGCTGCTGCTGCTGCCGCCAGTAGCGCGCAGACGGCCCCTGAACGGATGGATGAAGGACTGTGTGATGCGGCTAGTAAGTGATTTATCCTTGAAAGAGAGTCCCGCAGTATAAGGGGAGAGCCTTAGAAAGGTGAAGGGTCCCGTGTAAAGCTTTTGGATGCTACAGTAGCACTTGTGTGCGACTTTTGTGCAGGCAATTTCTTGGACAGTTGATATCGTCGCGTTCAGTCGGGGCAGTTCCAAGAGGGATAACGAGGTCACCTGCGGCTTTTTAACCACTGCCTGTTTTTTTTGCCAGATCGATCACCAACCGATCACCATTGGTATAGCAAGGCAACTGAAGGCATTCTCATTCCGCCCCTCCTAGCAACGCCACGGCTGATCGCAACGTTCTAAGTAATACCTCAGATAGACGTGCTCGAAGCCTGAGCTGATGGTAGGGCTCTAGATCAATATGAAGTTCAAAGTGGTCTAGTTAAAGCGAAAGGAAAATGGTGTCTGTCCTACACAGTGAGTCTCTTTTTGTGGCGCACTGCGGCTCGGGGGCCATTTTATCAGTTCTCATGGACATGGAAAATTAAGAACTCTTGGGAAGCTGAGGAATCGGGACACGTTGTACAGTTAGGGATACCCAGCGATAGGGGTCGTATTTGATCGTTGGAGAGATGGGGTTCGTACCGGTAATTTCATGTACCTACCATCTATCATTTAAGCACCCCATCCTCTCCACTCCCACTCGACAGGGTGACACTTCTGAGATTTGCGGGCAGAGGGGAAGTTCAGGGACTTCTGAGAAAAAAAAACTGAACCTTCGGAAAAGTGGTAGGAGGTTAGGAAATCGGGAAAATTAAGGAAGACGATAGTTAGGATGGCGCATGAGGAAGTGAGGGAGTGGGTCATATTTTGAAAAAAAACGACAGGACGTGCCCTGTATGGAATGGTACTCACGCTTGAAGCTTGTTACAGGCCACCTTGTGGAAATCTGTGAACTATTGCAAAGCTGATACAGCCATAAGTAGTAAAACCTATGGTTTAGAAGTTCGTTGGGTTTTACAAGTTTCACGAAAGCAGCTCGACGAAACTTTCTCCATTCCGCAGTTTCACAAGGTTTACATGATTCACCGAGAAGGGGAAACTGAGGAAACTAGCGAGCACTTTGTTTTGTTTGTTAGCTAAAAATTGAATGTTCATCATAAGGTTGCAATTATTTTAGTAGCGCCGCTAGTGCTGACTTCATCAGTGGGAAGTCTGTTGGGTTCGAGTCAATCGCCCACGACGTCCCGCGATGCTCCTGCTCCACAACGAATTCGAAGGTATCTGAATAGTTTTGAATAGCATGGATCATTACGTTGTGATTATGTATGTTTTCTTATATTCTCGTTCAATTATTTCATTAATCATTGTTTTCTCATATTCTCCAGCGAACATCGTAATGCATCGACGAATTCATCATCGACGACAATTTCGCAGCATACGAAAGATCGGTTGAAAAATATGATAGCACAACGAAATCGTGAGGGAAGTCAGACGAATCTTGCTGGGACACCACCTCAGCAGCATGCTCCGATGAGTCCTCAGGTAATCCTTAAGTGAGATCAGCTCTTTGCAGCTAGCGTTTCAGTTTACACTCCATATTCCAGAATTGCGGAGGCGTGTCTGCGTCCTCCATTCGAGAGTAATAGCAAATGCTCTTTCGTGGAATATTGCCCGTTTGGGACAACTGTAATCATGTATTTGCCCAGCACAAGACATGATGACACTTGCCCCAAATGGGAATATCTTACGAAAAACACATTGTACGCCATGCTTTAAGAAAGCACGCAGCCACGCCCTCCCCATCTCCAGGATATGGAGTGTACTTTGTATCTCGCTTGACCTTTGCTCTACTATGTCGAGAATTTTCATTTTAATCCCTTCTCGCGAGTTTTCCATTCGCATGTTCAACTTATTAATTTCGATTATTCAAAATGTAATGTAGTAGGTCATATTAATTCACTGTAAGTGATAGAAAATTGTCCTACGTCTAGATCTAGGAGGTCGGCATAAAAAGATGAATAATTGGCGACCGTAGACCTTAGGGTGTAAAAGTTGCTGGTACAATGCCTCTACCAGGACGGACGGGGGGATTTTGTTGGTTCACGACAAAGTGCCAGGCAATTTTTTGAAATCCTGTAAAGCTGGAAGATGGAACTTGTTTTACAATAATTTTGAGTTATGGCCAGACCCGAAGCGGGAACCAGACCTGCATCTCACCCTATCATAATAACAGTAACAGCTGTTTAATAGAGTCCAGCTTCTCTCTTCATAAAACGTAGGATGAACTGCAAGAGCCACGGGTTTTGCCTCAGTCTAAAGAGGAAAGAGTTTTGGGACAAGTGAACCAAATCCTTTGATCCAAATCCTAGATGCAAAGGTTTCCTTACATTGTGAGATGTCGCCCACCAACTGTTCATCGACCTGAATAGATCTTTGCCTTCGTTGAGGTATAAGCGGTTGTCGGAGCCCTGGGCAATGGACGGGGGTGGGGGTGTTATTCGGTACATAGTGTTCCTTCATAACTCTACAGCAACCCATGATCATATTTTTACACCTCACGGCAGGCGAAACCGTCATCAATGAAAAAGTGGTGCTCGACAGGCTGACACTGTTGAGCCCAAGCTCTTCAGCCCCGCCCTTGATAGCAACATGCGTCATCGAAAATGGGAAGCTATGGGAGTCGAGCTCCACGGCCAGCATCTAACCGGCCAGCATCTAACTATCTCAGTTTTACTGACTATATCGTTCTAGTGACCCTAAACGCAGAGCGAATGCTGACTGCGCGGCTTGCGTTCAGCCTAACTAAGGCGATGATCATGAAAGACAGATTGGTTCCTGATGGCCAATTCTTGCCCAATGGAACGACCATATCTGAATGCTCTAGCTCTGTCGACGTAGGTCTGTAAATCGGTATGATGAACGACTTGCAATTAGCACGAGAGCTAAACAGGTGGAATCGAGCGGCTCAGGGACATTCAGTTATATGACAGACGAAGAATATTGGCCTGCGCCTTCCTGCTTTGATTGCACAGTCCTTATTTTCTTATCGTCCACGTCAAGGACTTGCTCTTTAGGAAAGTAGGATGAACATAGGTAAGGTGAGCATTCGTCTAGCCATCGAAAGTGCAGTGCCTTGGAGTGGCCCGGGTACACGCAACTTTATGAAAACAATCGGGGCCTCGCATCCGTGTGTGATCTAAGGTTGGGGCAGGGCGGGGGTTATGCGATTTCAGGATAAGTGCTGGACCAGAGAGATCACTGAGTGTATCCCACGGGGTATCAAACGAACACCCGGGCCACCGACCGGATGATCAAACATCTTGAAAGCTCTGGACGAATACTATTGACTTGTATTTTATGCACAGAGAATCCTGCGTGCATTTCTGGCACATTTGGGGACGAATGGAAGTGTTACTGGTCCCCGAACGACCAACCTGGTGATTATCTAAGTTTTGATGACCACGGGTTATACAAATGATTGTCTATCCCGGGGCTGTATTCTTTTCATCGCGCCCTCACCATTATATTTGCCCCTCCTTTCCTGGCTTACTTTCTTATTTCTGCTCTGGTGTCCTCGTGCATTCTGCGCAGAATACTTCCCGTCGCTGGGGGAACTTTTTAGGAAAATATGACCCCCTTTCCAGTTCTGTGTACCATCCGTATAGCACTTGGAAAAGAGGAACGCGAAAAGTCAACAGCCGGAATTTTTTTTTCGCAACGAAGGAAATTTCTCTCGAAGGCGGATGCTATGCCACTCTTTCAAAAGAAGCGACGAGCAAATAGACAAACCTTCCTCTCATCCCTCCCAGCTGGAGTTCTTACAACACTGTAAAAAGCGCCCATTAAACAGGAAAAACCAACCATTCAAAAAATTTTCTCGGGCCAAATGCGACCCCTCTCCCTCCAGCGCCAAGACCCTTCCGCTGGAGACTCCCAAGCTTACGAGTGCCCTGATCCCCATACGTATATAGCAGACAGTATTAAAGTGGTGCCATTCATAGTTTTACAGAAGTATATAGGGCCACAGAAAGGCTAGAATTTCTTTCATTGGCGTCCTTGCAATAAGTAGATTGCGCCCTGAGGTCGTTATTTCAGGTAAATGTGTCGTCACCACATTTTGAGCCATATCGAGTGCCAGCGTCGTTGCATAGCGTTCAAGCGGTCAGTTGCCAGCCATCTGGAGAATACCAACTGCGAAAAGTGAACAGTGAACCGAATCTGAAAATGCGTATCCGAGCAAAACTCCTCAGCAAAGGATCCAGCCCTGTGCAAAATCAGAATAGCTTCAGTTTCACTCATCCTCAACTGAAACGGTAAGAACGTTGGGAGTTACTCATAATAAAGTATCGCGGAACGATTGCCGAGGGCGGGCGGATGTTGCCAGTGCCATTGGCGGAAAGGCTGCCAGAGGGCCACTTAGCCCTTCCACCAATGATGTTGGCGGTAACCGCCCGCTCCCAGACATCGTACCCAATGCATTTAATCAAGTGTTGTTTAGCCTACTACTTTGATAATTTTTATTCAGAATGAGTATAACTTCTTTTAGGAGCGACAGTGAAACGTCGGGTAATAGTAATACAACCGGTGGTGGAAATTTGGCCATGGATGCTTTGTTGTCGAATGCTGCTGCTACAGCATTTCCTCCTCATCTTATAATGCCCTCACCAAGCTTGCCAAATCTTGCCGCTCCAACTCTTGCCCAGCCTCCTCAACTACCTATAGGTAGGTATTAGGAAGGTCATGTACCAGTTTCACATTTTATTGTAATTTCAGATATGGCTTCGCTTATGGCAGCAGCTCAGTTGACGCCATTCCTCAGTCTGCCAAGCCTACTGAAGACACAGCTAGGTCTTGGTGGTGGTCTGTTAGAGGATGACATATCGGATCGAAGCAGGCTTGCCCCAGGTGTAGCTGCACTTGGTGCACTTTCGCAACAGGTGCCCGTTGGTGGATACCCCTCACTGCTCAAACAACAGCTCAGGGAACTTGTACTTCGGAGGAAAAGTCTCGTGCGGTTAGCATTCAGATAGCGATTATAATTCAAGTTTTCGAAAGGTTGTAATTTTAATGCGGCATTTCAGCGAAGAGCCTGAAGATGATGATTCGCTAAGTACGCAACCAGTACTTGGACAAATGCCATCGTCACTTGGACTAGGTGAGCTTTCGGGTGGTAAAGCCACAGGCCTCGCCTATGACTCCAGCATGGCTCGGCATGAATGCGTTTGTGGTGAAAGCAGCTCACATGTGGAACATGGTGGACGAGTGCAGAGCATCTGGGCACGACTGCTGGAACGAGGACTTGTGCAAAGGTGAGCAGCTGCACTCAGGAATCCTGCACTGGTTTTCCTTCGACATGTAATGGCTAACGATTTGGATTTGTGCCTTATGGGGAGCGAGGACAACAGCAGTCCGCTAGTTAACGGCTTGTTTGTCGTGATTCTTCTAACCTTGTCTAACAAGCGGTCCATAGTCAATATTTGGTAGTACAGTAATACCGTCGGAAACACTTCAATGAATGAATCAACCAATGAATGAATCAACCAATCTTTTTTTATTGGTTTGGTTTTCACGTCGTAGGTTAAGCAGAAATGAAATATATTTGAAGGCAGTTGGCGTGATGGTTCCCTACTTAGCCTAAAATGCTAGTAGGGCGCTGTATAGTGGGGAAATGGCGAAAGAACGGAGTGAAACGGTCAAAATCCTGCGAAGAAAAAGCCTCCGTTCTCAGTGACTTGTAAATCGATTTCGGACGAGTTTCCCGTAGGCATCTTACCAATCACCGCTACCGAAGATACGGCTGCATATGTGTACCCATGTATGCATGCAGCATCACGGCCGCTTCATACCAATCCCTTCGCTTCATAATTTGCTTAGCAAATGAATGAATACGAGCGTCAGGAACGGTCGTCCATTTGTGGGCGGGCGGGCGTGGCGGGCGTTTGGGACGTAAAGTTGTGGCTTGATAGGGCCCTTATAAGGGCACCTTCCTCGGGGAAACCGCTATGCAGCGCCTGCCCAGGGTCGCGGAATTCTATCCTGCCAGGAGTATTGATCCTAGTCGTCTTGGGGGATTTATCGTGCCAACTGCCTTTCAATTTTCTGAATATGGGAAGATACAAGCGCATTTGACCTTCACTGCCTGAAACAACTGGTTGATATTCGTGTTCAGTCTCCCTTATTTGACTATTAGTTATTCGCGGACAGAACACGTCGTGCCGTTGGGAAGAAATTGGCACAATACAACCCTCCCCCTCAGAATTTTCCCCTTTTGGTGCCACCCTCTCCCTTCTTCATCTTACCTTCCATCTTTTTGAATTCGCCCAGCAATCTAGCACTTTGTGGAGTTGCTCGAAAACCCCATTTCTTCTCCCGAAGAACTGCTGTTGAGCGCGAAGAGGGGGAGGGTGTTAAAACGAGCGTGAAACTTGAACCTAGAAAAGCCTTAAGTTTAATTGGTTTATTATTTCGGTACTTTTTGTTGTGGAATCGAACGTACCTTCGGTTAAGTTTCGATATTTTATAGCGCCTAATGTTTAAATCAATAGTTCTAGTAACGAATGTCATAACCTCACAGAAGTTTTATGACGAATATTCGGCTACTATTTGCCTTCAGATGCGAGCGAATTGCGGCAAAGAAGGCTTCACTCGAACAACTTCGAATGGTTCACTCGCCAACGTATGTGACGTTTTTCGCGGTATCACCGACAGCTTGCCTGAAAATGGAAGCCTCTCAGCTACCCCTCAAGAGCTTTGTTCAGGTATTTCTACAAGCTTTTTCGTAGGTCTAGAACAGAGATCACATTTGTCCTTTATTGGACCTTCCGGTCTCGAGGTCTTTTTGCACGATTACCTGATATCTATGCCCTTTCTGTGTGCAGGGCGACTGGTCCGTAGCAGTAAGAATACAGCATCCCTGACATTCGAAGGTGCGCGGCAAAGATGGTAGAATCCTGCGATTTTTGCGGTTCTGTTGTCTCCGCCCATTATTCGGTACGTGGTACGCAGGTTGCAGCCGCGTCAAACGCCATACGGCCAGCCATACATGAGAGAGCGTATTGCGTGTGGCTATAGTCAGGGACATGGCTGGTCATAGACGCGGCTGCGGCATGTGCATAGCGTATTGATTGGTTTGGAGCATCCAGATGTCTTAATCCTTGGGTTTATTGCTGCGCACTTTCAAAAAGCACGAGTGGTGTTCTCTTACGGCTGGGGACCTGCTCAACTCGGTCATAGAAATGGTCCACCTCTTTAACTACTTCACTTTTTTTTAGCAAACTTGGTTTATGTTCGTATTGTTGCGCTAGTGCATTGTCTTCTGATTTAGTAGAGACACTTTCAGTTACCATGTGGTGGAATCGGAATCGATTCAGACACCTATTTCAATGATGCTACCACACAAACGGCTGCACGGGTTGCAGCTGGTTCACTCATTGAGCTAGCATCTCAGGTGAGTAATTTTTCAGATTTCCGGGATGATACTGTGTCAATTTACATTGTCAGATGTTGAGCAGGGAACAAAATGGGAATGAAGGAGAGGTCATTCTGTGTGGCCCTCCTGCCTCGACCCGTCGGGTAGGGAGCCATCCGCTCAACTATTTGAAATAGTAAGGCAGCTTTCAGACTGGGCGATATCATGCGTCGGCGCGTTACCATTGCAACGTCGCTCTAATGCTATAGACAGGAACGGGAACGAGCCGTATACGGGTTTTGATTGGCGTCGGGCGCTCGTGTTCTGGGAGGGTAGGGAAGGATAGGAGGGCGTCAACACGTTCATCGCGAACTCTGAACGCTGCCAAAGACTGCGACATCATCGGCCTTCACAAAATATCAACAAGGGAAGGAGGTCAAGCACGACTTCCCTCCACCCCCCCCCACCGCACCACCCCCTCCCTGACCAAATAAGACTCCTGATGTGGATTCCCCACCTATGATGTACACTGTATGTGAAAATTTCAGGTAGTTGAGAACCGACTGCGGAATGGCTTTGCTTGTATTCGGCCGCCAGGTCACCACTCTGAACGGGATCAGGTAGGTCTATTTGCGGCTGTTCTTCATTTCTGTTCAGATAGAACTAGGCTTTTTTTGGTTGAATTTATTGATCCGTTCTTTTAGGCGATGGGATTCTGTTTCTTCAATAATGTGGCCATCACTGCTCGATATTTGCAACAGAAGTATCCCCAGCAGTGCGCTCGAATCGCCATCATTGACTGGGTGAGTACTGCTTCAAATTTAATAAACTTTGTCTCTATAGTTGTGTGGTTAGCCCAGCAAACTAATTGCCAGAATGTTATCGCGATACGATTATAGGATGTACACCATGGGAATGGCACCCAGTTATGTTTCGAAGAAGACCCGAGCGTTCTATATCTGTCTCTTCATCGTCACGATAATGGTAATTTCTTCCCTGGCACGGGGGCTGTGACGGAAGTGGGTCGAGGTGCTGGCAAGGTACAAAACAAATTTTGATGTTGTTTTCAATATTCTTATGTTACAGTGCGTGGCACAGTTTACGGTTCCCTGAGTGGTGAATCCTTCCCGTGTATAAGAGTACAAGAAAAGGTGCATCTTTGTCGGCACTAGAAAATAGACCCCTGATATGAAAGCCGAAGGCAAGTGATAGTTACAGAATCCTGGTCTCTGCTCGGAAGCCGTTACGCCACATCCTAAGGTGACGTTATACGCGCTGAGTGACTGCGCCCTCTCAGCAAGGTAGTGTTCAGTGGGCTTAGTTAAGACTGTTAAGGTTTTTTCGAGGTATTATGATATCCAGATTGTAATTGGATGTGAAGTCACGTCGGACTAATTCTCAATCAAGGGCGCCGAATACTGTCTCGCTGGGTGGGTACAGACGAGCAGCGCGTATCGCGTGGCCGTATGAAGTATCAAAGGAGGAGCGCTGGCACGACGCGCCGAGCTATCGCAAGATTTAGCTTAGTTACCTCACTCTTTCGTCCTGTGTATGGACAGGGTTCGCCCTTCAGGTTGCCGTAAAGTGGCCTTTTACTCATCAGTTGAAACTTTGCTGCTTTTTTACACTTTGCCCATAGAACATAATGATATAAAGGAAATCGTGATATTCTAGGGGTTCTCGGTGAATGTGCCGTTCTCTGGAGGTGTCATGAGAGATGCTGACTATCTTGCGGCTTGGCGAGTAGTCGTGCACCCTGTTCTGGAGCAGTTCCAGCCGAATTTCATTCTGGTCTCAGCCGGTTTCGATGCGTGTTGTGGTCATCCGAACGCTCTTGGCGGGTGAGCACAAAACTTCTTTACTTGTACTACAACTAGCCCTCTATTGATTGATCTAGTTGATCAACTTGTGCTGGTGTTAGTATTATACAACAATACACTTGTATTGAGTACTGTTTCTTGTGCATTAAAGTTTTACATTTTAGGTATAAAATTTCTGCAGAAATGTTCGGGTTCATGACTCGTCAGTTAATGTCGTTCGCAGGCGGACGAGTTGTCCTGGCTCTCGAAGGAGGTTACGATCTCGCGAGCATTTCGGACGCTGCAGAGCAATGCGTTAAGGTTAGTTGTTCAGGAGAACAAAGTTGTAAACAGAGGGAGCAACGATTGAAGAGAACGCGTGTAGTCTTGTTCGCTGAGGATGACGGGGCGTGTTAAGGGGAATTGGTTTGGTGCTGCGCAAGCCCATTTTTTTTCTTTCGGCAAGCGACAAGCTGTATTAGGTTGTTCGTATCAGTCGTGTCCGACTTTGTTGTCCCTTGCCCGCTTCAAAAACTGGTGGGGAACGGACTAGAGGTGCTTCAAACCCAGCCTTCAGACGGCCCCTTCATCCGCAGCTACCAAGATAGTAGCAACAGTGAGGAAGCAAGCCAGCGTTCAAAGTAGCGTCTTACTTTTAATAAACTGAATGAGATTGTTGTAGGGAACTTCAGTTTATACTCTTAAATTTTAGCTTGATTTTAACTTGGTTCTAGTTCGGGGGTCCAGCTATCATTAAGAAGCTTCTTATCATATTTGTATAACAAAATTAGTAATTATTCTTCAGGTACTCTGTGGAGATGATGATAAAGCGGGTGTTTTGAATAGCGAAGCGTTAGAAGGGATACCATGTCTCAGTGCTCAAGAAACCATACAAAAGGTACACGATAACAGTTATGGCCCATGCTATATTTTTTTAACATCATTGAAGGCACATACCGTGATTACCCAAGAGCTGGGCTTCATGTACACATAGCGGAGGTCCTCAGCCGCTCTATGTGTGTCACTTTTCCCCACACCAAAGTCTATGGCTAGGGCCTCGCAAAGATCAGAAAAGTCATTCAAGCAAAGTTCAGATATGAGCAGGCCAGCAGCTGCACTGTCTTGTGATGGATTCTCCCCTCCGGCCTGTGTCGCTGTGTTGCTTTCACGCGCGACTGTCTGGAACTCAATTCGGCCTTACTTGGGCGGGTTTCGGCGGCTTCTTCTGCTTTTTCCTTCGCAGATGAGTCAGTTAGCACCCGAAAATTCACGCTTGACCTCGCCCCCGTAACCCACGACTTGTGATCGTGGCATTTCTCTTTAACGGCGTGGCATTTCTCTTTAACGGCGCGCTCCCCGATCACAACTCGTGGGCAGTGGGGTTTACTTCCAGATGTCAAGGTGACGCTTAACAAGGAGGAAAAAGGCGGAAGGGATGTCTTTGAATAAAATTCCCTAGATAAGACCCCCGCCCAGTCCGAGCTTGTATGAGCATACGGCGTAGAGAGGGCGCCCTCGGCTGTTTCCTGCTGTCGGTATCACGACGATATCAGCTCTTTCTCTCCTTCCGTCAGTTCCACCATCCTGAACGGAATAGCGCAGAAAACGTTCCAATGGGTAACCTATAGAAATGGACGGAGGGCATGGCGCCAAGTGGTGGGCGGAGCACGCCCTCGTCAGGACCGCATAGAGTCCTTACCGCATTATCCAACTGCGAAGGAGGTGCATCCTCCGCGTTTGCGGAGCGGACTACTATGTGTAAGGAAGTCCGATCCTTACACATAGCAGTCCGCTTCTGAAGTAAGAAGATAGGCTCTTTTCACATCAGGTGGTCGCGGGGTGTGCCTTTAACGTACTTTTATGTGCCGATTAGACTTTTTCACTCTACAACTTCTGCTTCAATTTTTCAGGTTATTGCCATACACAAAGGATACTGGCCGAATCTTACAGCCGAACAGGGTTTATCGATTAGCGAACTACACTGGCAAACCGTTGGCAGGCAGTTTCAGAATTTAACAATGGGAACTGTCTAGAGTCGTCAATGCTTCAGCGATTTACATTTAACTTGAGGAGATTGAATTTTTCTTCTGGTTTCATCGAAGCAAAGATTCCTGTTCCCTTCACTATAAGTTGGTCATGTTGAACTCTACAGGATCAGTACATACCAGACTTAGTATTATCGTCTAAGAGGTACTACCAAGTTCTATAATTTGTTTTAAATGTGAGGTTGCTGACTTATTCTGCAGATCTCTCTACCTCTGTCTCCTCATTGAAGTAATTCTGCGCTCAGGGTCGTGCACCTATGCTACTTGGGCATGATTAGGGAAGGTTCTAAGGACAGATTTTAAATCGGGATGAACAAACTTCTAAATACCCTTAGAGGCAGTGGGCACGATGGCTTGGGGTGGGCGGGTACTGCCAGCGTCATTGGTGGAAGGGTTGGGAAGGGTGTGGCCAAACGCTCTGTCAGCCCTTCCACCAATGACGTTGCCAGTAACCGCCCCGCCCTCAACCATCGTGCCCACTGCCTTCAAGAAGGCATAAAGAAGGGCAGGTCAACAAAAAGTAGTGGTGCACGATCCATAGAATTACTCATCGCTCTATGATTCCTGTTTTATGAAAATCCCCTCGAGTTTCATCATTATCGTGGAAGTTCCGACCACAGACGTATCGATTTCCATATACTGGGCTTGGTCTAGTCTTGCGTTCCATTTTGCGTCGCATGAGTTTGTTGTAATGCAGGTATAATTGAGTTTTTTTCGAGTCATTATCATCACTATCATCATCATCATCTTATTTTTTTCTGATTTTGTGAGCTGCTCTCGATTAGAGCCACATTCAGTGATGGATCAAAGGCAATGGGAACGATTGCTGGAGGCGGGCGGTTGCTGCCAGCGCCATTTGTGGAAGTGGTGCGAAAGCGCGTTTGGCCCCACCCCACCTAGCCTGATGAGAATGAGTTCTGCCACCCTTTTCAGCGCTGTGGAAGATGTGGCAAAACTCCTTTTAATTACGCTTTATACAAGCTGACAGCGGCCCTGCCCCAAAGTCATTGCTATGTGACTTCAATATTTCATAGGAAAATGATAAAAGGCGATAAGTGTAGAAGAAGTACAATGGAGTAACACCAAAGTTTTGAAAGAGGTGCGCTTTTTCGGGGACTTATTACTGGAGTTTCCTGTAATTGATTGTCAAATTCTAGGGTAAAACTGGAGTATATCGTACTCCTATGCACAGTAGATCATATCGTTGTTGTGCTTCTGAGTTCGGTGTATTTGTTCGTTTGTAACTGTTGATATTTGTGTTTTACAATTGAAGATTTATTGGTATACAGTAGTGTATGCAACATAGGTGGTGATTTGTCTTACTGTGTGTTTCATCGATTGGAACTCGTCTTTTTCGTCCCACTCCTATGATTACCACTCCTACTACAATTAGTATTAGAACTACAACAATTGCTGCTACCACTACTTCTACTACCACTACCAATACTACTGCTACTATGACTAATTCTCAGTCTTAGAGGCATATGATAAGTTTATCTCATGTAAGAAGCATTTCGCTTTCGCGACATCAACAGTTGATTTGATAATTATCGAATTGTGATTGGAATGTGATCATTTCATTAATTCATTTCTCTCGTCGGCTCGTTTCATTCATAAATATCTTAAAATTCTATTTTTTTTACAAATTGTTCTATTGTATATAGTTATGGAGTGTAGCACGCTGTATTGTTTTCTGCATGCAAAGTGTTCGATTAAACGATTCAGTGCAATACGATTGTTTGGCAGCATGGAAAATGGCATTTGAAGGCAACCCTACTCCATCCAAGGGTCTTACAAAAATTTTCTTGGAAATGTATTCTAAAGTCACTTAAGTCATTTGCGAGGGTCATTCAAAAGTGAAAGAAATGAGGAAAACTGCCTCCGTATTTTGGGGAAAAAGGTAATTTTTGCAAAAAGGAATCCGCTAGCAGTGCACGAGATTTGAATGGGAATAACCTTTCCGCCCTGAATCCGTTCGTCAGTTTTCTATGAAGGATAAGGAGCAGTGGAGAGCCACCAACGCTCCAACAAAATAGATTTGGCAGGCCCGGGGAATCGTAGCTCCAATTGAACACCGCGCTCCAATCGCAACTCGGGTTACGGTAGCTACGATCACCGGGGCCTGCCAAGTCTCTCTTGTCGCCTACCATTCATTTTGTCTGAAATAATGTCCGCATCATAGGTTGAGGAGAAGAGCTGATTCCGCCATGTTGTGCTGGGAATGCAGTTGTTTAGTGGTGAATGTTTGATGATGTTTCAGCAGAAAACAACCCGCGAAAAATGTTTCCTGTTGAGTAAAAGGTAGGGAGTGAGTTGTTACTTCTCAGTCGTGGCAACGCGCGCACTAGTAGAGATTTCCCGGCCAGTTGACTAGATTGCCATTGGCACAGAGAGAGCTAAGCGATTTGGGAGACGCAGACGCAGGGAAGGTCGAGGTGCCGCTGCGTTGCCACGTTGAGTGAAGTGGGTCCTGATGCGAAGGCTATCTCCGAATCTTTCTTGCAATACCTACATATTTCATTGCACTCTGATTCGACCCAACTGCCAACGGTAAAGTTTGTCTGTTGTGTTCTCAAGGGCTTCGTGAAAGCTCTGAAAGAATGGTATGAAGTTCATCGTGTCCAGGGCACGCCATCTTTGTGATCATCACAACAGGGGGGTCGTATTTGCCCGCGATGGAGGGGGGGTCGTAAACGCATGGCCCATGTTGAAGTGGAGAGAGCGGTGATACACGGTACAAGTGAAAAGAAGCTCAAAAGGGACGATGTAGATGACAATAAATAGAACTAGGCACTATCGAACTATTCCTAGGCCAAGAACTAAAAAAATATTGCTGAAACTTTTTCCTCCTTCCTCACAAAAAAACTTCAAGACACTTCGCCCACCAACCCTCCTCATCTGGTCTAGATAAATCCCAATCCACTAATCCGCAAAATCTAGAAAAGAATCCATTGCAAAAGCTACCTATGAAACCGTAGAAATTGAATCCTGAGCAATTTCCTCACAACAAAATCAAACTCAACAAAACAAAATCAAACTCAACAAAAACAAACAATCAAAATAATTCACAATCAAATGGATAAGAAAAAAAACTCACCAGGCCAGCTGGGAACCGGAACTATGGATTACTTTTGAATTTTGGCTGTTCGCGGTCAGCGCGCTCATACAAGCTCATTGGTGCGCGCTATTTTACGGCCTGGAGCCAATTTCAAGCCAAACACGTGAAAAGTACCCCTCATTTGAACACCCATAACTTCGTTGAAAGTGAAGCTATCGGAGAGGGGTAAGTGGGAATGAGTAGAGCTAGGTTGGCTCTTGTCACCTGAATTGAGCGATTTCAAAAACGTTCCGATTCCAGAGATTTTCCCCGTTGTGATCATCGTTGTGATCCGTCTGTGATCATTTTTGCGAACCGCGAGTCGCTACGCTTTGGACGTCCATGGCAAGCTTCATACACGGCCTTTCGTAAAAAAAAGAATTGTGCCGGAAGCTTGAAGATTTCTACTTTCCAGCAAGGCTTTAATTTTCTTCCTAGGCCTGCTATTCGAAAAAATTCCCCGTTGTGATCATTTCGTGACCACCCCCCACGACACGAAAAATCAGCCCCTCCGAGGCCATGAAACCTCCAGTTGGCTTGAAGACTTTGGTATGCTTCTAAAACACATGTTTTCGTCAAGTATATCAGGTAATAGTTCATTGGGCTCTAATTGGCATCACCTCTGCAATGCGCCATGCATAGGGCTTTCAGGCAGAGGTGTTGGGAAGGTGCAACTTCTAGATAGGGCTTCCTAAGCGCAAGCACATGTGTTCCTGCGATCAGAAAGGTCTGAAAATGTACTTTCATCTGTTTATTGATCGTCACGTCGTGAGTCCTTTGGTTTATTTATAGATATGGTGCCCTTGTGGGCGGTCATCGTAGCTATCATCGCCCCTTCCTCGTACGTATTGTCAGTATGCTACACCAGCGCCAGAGTGCTGGACGTGCTTGGGACGTACGTAGGTACTGCGACCTCCCCCCCCCCCGCTCGACAGCAAAATTTTGTAAAAAAAACCAGAAATTTTTTGGGAAAAAATAGACAAAGTGGTAGGAGGTTGGAAAAATCTAGGGAAGAGGTAACATGGGGAGGGGGGTCGTACTTGAAGATGGAATTAGGGGGGGTCGTATTTTTCAGGAAATGATCACAACGCAATGGCGTGCCCTGATCGTGTCCCTCGAGCGAGAGAGTCCATTGGGCAACTCTTGCACGTTGCAGGGACGAATGGAGACGTTACTGGCGCCCGCTCGAGGAACTCGATGATCAACGGGAGCACAGGTGATACAGGTGATACAGAGTTGTCTTTTTCATCAGGTTTTTTTGAGGTGAACTGTCTTTATAGTTATCATTCTCTCAAAAACCTATGAAAGGGCAGGCCCGGGCAGACAAAAACTCAGCTTAAGCTGTGTTGAGTCGACTGAACCTTTTAGCAAACACGATACAGTTTTCGCGGCGTTTTCTTGCTGAGAAACAGCACCTTTTTAATGATGGAGTTTGGAGATAGACTTCACTCTCACAGCACACTTCAAACAGCCTTCTTAGTGGCACTGAGTTTCGAAAAGCTTCCTCCTCCTATCAGAACATGTTGGAATCAGATCTTCCCTTATAAGGTGTAGATCACTTCGAAAGAGAAGTGTTGAGGGCTCCTTGAGGTCCCATATCCCTTCAGAACGAGATCGACTGGACGGACAGGTTATTTGAGCTGGGATTTCGCGCTCTTTGACAATTATCTTTTTTTGCAGAAATCTACTTTTTTTCAAAAATGAAATTTGTCCCCTCTTATGAAGGAAAACAAAAAACTTGTGATGGGATTACCATTTTGCGACGATGGTTTGAAGACCGTTTTCTAAGCAAAAAACTGCAAGAAAACTCGTTTACAAAGTTGAATTATGGTGTTGATGTTCAAATTCCCATTTGCGTTCAATGCAGTTTCTCGTTAGAGGCTTTCGAAAGCATTTTTGAGTGGAGTTTTTGTGAGATCCTTGAGTGGAATTGTCATTTTACGGCGCAGCTTACTTCGTTATTGCAAGTCGTGGGAGAGGAGGTGCAAAGAGCTTCGCTGGTAAAATTGAAGTTGTGAAGAAAAAAGCGGAGAAACCATCGAAAACGCTCCAAATAGGGCCCGGCTGCTAATCAATTTTCGGACAGCACGACCTGCCCTCTTGCACGGGATCGATCCACACAGACGCGCTCGCCACTACGATTGATTGCAACGTCTTGCAGGACATTTATGGGCGTCGATACTTGGAGTGGTGTCCAGGCTTCACAGCGCTTTTTCCATCAGCTTCCGAGCGGTTGAACTGCCAGATCTCGAGCGGCTGTGGACCTGTGCTTTTTATATTTGGAATGAATCTCTCCTCTTATAAGGGAAGTCCGCCAACTTACCATGGAACTTGAATGGAAACCTGGGTAGATCGATAGAGTCTATAAGGTTATTTACAAATATAGATAGCAAAACTGCAACCTGCATTTCACAAGCAACTTATGAGCAGTAAAGTTTGGCAACCCGGCCACGGTAAAGGGCGCTGTCGCGGTTCGCGACAACGTGGCCGGGGTCCCGTGCGCCTGGGCTCTGGCGCGCTACACGGGCAAAGCCGCGACGCGACCGCCGAAGGCCGCGCCGCCGCCCCGCCCCCAGTGGAGCCCTTATAAGGGCTGCTGCGAGCCAGTCGGTGTGCTTCTCTCCCTCCGGGAGGAGAGATCCACCGGGCACCCGCTCTGCCGCCATGATGCCGGACGGTTCTGCAGGGTGCTTGCACTCTGTACAGCAGTGTGGTCGGGCACACTGCTCCGTCTGGCGGAGCTCTGGCTCAGGCCCGTGCCTGCTATGACCCGAAGGCACGGCCGGCTGTGGGTTGCAGCTTGTAGCCGCAGAGCGCCATTACCGCTAGGATTACCGCTAGGACAGATGGCAGATGGATGGTCAGTCCAGCTACGGCAGGATGTAAGGACAGTTGGAAGATGGTTACCGCAAACACGTGAGTCAATAAATATGGTGTTTATTTGTTTTGTTATGTTGCAATAGGTGGGAGTTGGGAGCGACCGGGCAGGTGGGCCCGTAAGGGTGCTGGTAAGGCAGGGAAGGTACAGGTTGGGTAAAGGTATATTTATTATTGGTCATATTTCTATTGGTATTTTGTGTGGTTGGTTATTGCATGCCGTCAGGGGGTTAACAGGCATGCTGTCAGACCGGTTACGGCAGGCTGCGACAGTGGGAGGGCCGGCCGACCTGGGGGTCCAGGACGGACATGAGGGAGGTCGGACCCCCCACGGGGACATGCCTGGTCATGGGCTGCCGTCCCCTTCAGCCTGTCACGGGCGTAGACCCGGGTGGTCCCTCGGGGAACCGAGACTATATCGTGCGGGAAAGCGATATGGCCCCCGGGGAACTGTGAGACCGAGGTGGGCTAATGGTGTGTAAGCGGACCCTCGATTCACCGATGCTCGTCGTGGGAGAGGACTAGTAGGGCGGTCTCTCTCTGAACTGCGACACTGGTGCAATCGGCTGCGCGGCCTTGGTGATGAGCTGTGAAGCATAAGTGAGGAATCGCATTCGTCGAATCGAGCTGTAGTGGTAAGGTTCGATGTTCGACTCGATTCGACGTATGCGATTCCTCGCTTATGCTTCACAGCTCACCACCAAGCCTCCACCCTACTGCACCATTACAAACTTTACCTGCTCATAAGTTGCTTGTGAAATGCAGGTTGCAGTTTTGCTATCTATATTTGTAAATAACCTTATAGACTCTATCGATCTACCCAGGTCTCCATTCAAAGTTCCATGGTAACTTGGCGGACTTCCCTGGTTAGGTCATTGAGAAATGTATTATTAGATATTAATAACCCTGTACTTGATAAGTGGGATCTCATCTTATACAATTAGTCCGGTGAGCAGTGGCGGAGATTTCCCTCCCTCCTTCGCGGCTTTTCAGTAAGATACGAGGACGTTGTGGCCGTCGTTGGGAAACGGACAAAGCGGTCATACCTTTCCGTCCTGCGCGGTACATCATGCCGCGGTGCGCGAAGAAGTGCGAGTTCTCGGTGTGCACCGGTCTTGATGACTGAAGCAGCGAAACCCATGTGGATTCAAGCGAAGGTAAGACTTCGTGCCTAATGATATAGACGTTTCCTGTCTTTTAGCATTCAAACAGTTGGGCAGGCAACTCGTCTCTGGCGTGCGCGGCGTCGCCCGCCGCGCTCAGCGTGACATTTTGCGATTGTCTTGTCACATACCCCTCCCCCTATCCGTAGTTTATCGTACCATTCCAACATAGCGATTTGCAAAACATTTAAACTGTATTTACCCCTGCCACGACGGCCGAAAATTTTGCTACTTTCTCATCATATTTTCATATTTTATTACTTTACTATTTTCAGTCAACCGACCAACACATATGTAACACTGTAATAAATACAACGTAATTCGACCCAGAGTCATGTTGTAAAACGCAACCGTAAACAAAATCAAACTCATTATTTCGTTTGAAAACATGATCACTCGTTTCAGTTTCTTCAACAGAAGAAAAATAAGGGTTAATGTTCCTAGTAGTCCTACGCTGGCGTCTTGGCTGGTTGAATCTTGGCCCAGTCCTGAACTTTTGCTAAAACGAAGTACCGTGATGTTGTGCACGACAAATACTTCCAGATGTATCTGAGGGCTCTAAAATACCTCACCAGATCCAAATATTAAGAACGTTATTCCCGCTACAATATTGGCTGCGCTGCATAATAAAAACGATACGACCCATTTGTCGGAGAAGCTCTGAAAATAAAACAGATTGTTTGTCCAGAGCAGCTAGAGCTCAGTCTAGAGACAAACTATACACTCATCTTTGAGAACGGTAACGGCGAAGTGAATGGGCTCGCAGCCAGAAGTGAGAGGCGCAGACAAGCACAGGGTTTGGATACGGCCTAGGCAGCGTTCAGCTCAACGCGCTTACAGCGCGTTGCTCCGCTGTATAGCGCGTTCGACGCCGGCCGTCTGCGCTGCGTTCGCGCTTGTAGCCCTACTGCGCAGCAACGCGCTGCTGCGCTGTAGCGGGTTGAGTCTGAACGATGCACTGAACTTGTGGCTCCCAGCCGGGACGGCGCACGGTATAGTCATCATCCTCCAGCTCGGTTCCAGCGCGCTCTTGGCCGGAGAAAGTGGTAGGCTACTGCAAACCTGCAGACCCACAGGTGGATGTACAGTTTGTCATTCAACACATGTGTGTTTTTCTCTACTGATACCAGTATTGAGCCCTAAGAAGTGTGCTGTGAATAAATAAAGCGAGAACTGTACCAATTTAGACACTACGCCCAACATCAATGGGCCGCTGATGTTTCCCAGCGTACCAAACACCATTGAAATTGAAGTTGTCGTTCCGGAAAACGGTGGTGCTATGCAGAGAATGCACGTGAAGAAACCACAAATACCCGCAGAGAAAAATGCTCCTAAACAGAAAAATTGCTGCCACGTTTATAGATCAGAAGATGTGAGATGTCCAAGTGAAGAAAAAACCTACCATATAAAGCGAGTAACGGTAACGCAACATAAGGGTGTTCACAATCCGGCAACGTGGCTAATGCGATGAGCATTGTAGCTGAGCCAAACGAACCTGAATAAGACACTAGCCTACGGGACGTCAGAAGATGTCAAAAACAAAAATAAGTTTAGCAATCATGAAACCACTTGCATACCTATAGCTTGGAAGATCTTCGCACACTTGGTATGGCCTAGAATTTTATTTCGTTTGAGGTAGTCGGCTATTATTCCAAAAATATTTTTTGATATCATCTGAGAGATGAATGGAATCATAGAGTAGTATCCATTCTGCAATTATAGTAGTCATTTTCAACCTCAGAACCCCTCTAAGTTGTGTCACGCCAGCTCTGACAATGAGAGAGCCTTCATAGCGTGCTACTTGGGGTTTTCTCCACTAATAGTATAGCACAGCAGAAAAAACGACTAACAAGGTTAAGTGGGAGCATGAGCTCCTCCTTGATGAAACTGGGCAAGAAAGCTTGCAGTAAAGAGGCTTGAAGATTGTAAGTGTACTGACACAGTACAGCAGCAATCAACGGAGTAGAAGTAAACATTGCTCTCCATGGTAGCGGCCCGATAGTCTGAACATATAGGTACTTTATGGTACTGCAATGGATATTCAGAGTATCACTCTCTATTAGTTTAAGAGGGGTGGAGCTGTCGTACAGCTCATATCGACGCAGTCAGTCAGGGTGGTTTCAAGAAGGATGAAATGAGCCTACCCGCACCGTTCACATTACTGGTTGTTTTCTTCCCAAATCGATCACCAACGGATCACCATTGGTCGAGCAACGAAGCCGGAGGTGGGCTCACTCCGCGCTCCTGACGCCCCCAACTAACTGCGACTTTGGTTCGATATAAACTTGGTTCAATATAAAGTAATCGTGAATCAATTACAGTATTAATAGCACTGAGCAATCACGGGCTTCTTACTACAGGCCTTTTTCGCATAATCGAATATGAATTTCACGAGCCAGCGGAATTACTCCTTACCATGCTTACTCATACGTACGCTTTCTTAGGATTTGCAAACATAAGCCACCATCCGGGCAACCTATGGTGTTACAGGGTGCAGCATCTTTGGTAGAACCCCCATCAGGGTAGGCGTGAATTGTCATTGTGAAGGGGGCTCCTGTTAGCCTGATGTGGGTCGTATCTGGTCTTGACAAAAAACTTCCCGAGCTGAGAGGAATTCTCTGGTAGCTATCACAAAAATGCCGAGTTATGGGCAAAAGGGAGACCACGGACGAGATTCGAGCCCGTCTCATCACGTTGAAGTGAGTGCTCGAAGGCAATGGCACAAATAGCCATTGAGCTGAGTGGTCAAAAGTGGCCCCGGTAGCGTAATAGGGAACGCAGCTGCACGGAAAGCAGAAGATGCGGGTTCGAATCCCGTCCGTGGTCCGACTTTTGCCCATAACTCAGCATTCTTGTGAGCTTTCGGATCGCGCACTGCGGCGTTAAACAGCAGTTACTAAACAATAACAGGTTGAAAATCTCCAGTAGCTACTGTTCGTGGTTCTTCCCCATCCATGTGTGTTAACTCATCACCCCTCCCCCCCCCCTCCTCGCTTAGTTGGCGGCGTCGCACCACTATTATGCATTATGCATGCACCACTATCTCTCGTAGTCGAAATCACTAGTACTTTGGTGACAACCTACCCTCACCGTTCCACTCCTGGAAAATGGTAGGAAGATGGTAGGAAGGATGGGGGAAGGGTCGTAGCGGAGGAAGAATTTGGGCGAGGGAGGGGAGGGGGAAGCGCAAGGCATCTAAGGCATTGTTCACAGTCGCCAGGCCCTGACGAAACGGCGGTTGGGAGAAAAGCAATAAATAGTCATCGATCGGAGAATCGCCCAACCGTCCAACCGCCCAACCGCCGCGGTTGGGCGAAAAGCAGTAGATGTGTATCGATTTCGCTGGCGAAAAACGCCACCGCGATGGAGCTAGCGTTTTGTCGAAGGCGAAAAACGTCGCGGTTTGGCGAAACGCCCGTCGATACGTACCAAAACCCTTTCGCCCAACCGCCAGGCTCTTCGCCCAACCGCCAGTCGATATGTATCGAAAGCTTTTCGCCGAACCGCCGCGTTTCAGAGAAACGCTGGACCGCAGAGTGTGAACAATGCCTAAGGGTGCAATATCTCTTATTCTGCTGCTGCATCCTGCCTCTGAGGCACCTAAGGAAGGCCAGGACAACGATGCTCCGCCGTCAAGACCTATAAATAAACAACCGTAACAACAGTTATCCTCACCTTTGCGTGAGTATGTTGGATTTGCCCAGCTAGATACGCTCTCTCTTCATTTGAGATGAATTTATGAGTTGTCGGTGAATTAGTCACATAAAAGCAGAATAAAACGAGCCAGATACAGCCCAATCCACCGAATAAGTAGAATATCGAAGGCCAGCCGATACTCAGCGTGCACAAATATGATGATATCAATGAAGAAAGAGAGGCTGCTAGCTGAAAGCTATTTTCTGAACTTTCTGATGCTGATGAGCGACCCCGTGGGATCAAAGAAACAAAACCTGGTTTCCGGATGTGTACAGCGCAGCAACTGTGGACTTCTCTGCTGGCGCGAACCACTTACCAACCAAACTCGAAAGGCACGGGAAAAAGAACTCGTTACACTATTGTTATATACTTTACACTCCTCTGAAATGGTTCTGCTATTGTTACACACTTCACACTCCTTATGCTTAGACATAGGCGTGGCATATGAACACGGCACAGAATGACTTACTCGTGGGATATTCCAGTTTGAGACAACTGTCAACTTGTTCTGTGCTGGACAGAGACACGACCACAATTGGCTCGAAGCGAATATATCGCCAAATAAGCAAGCTGCCGCCACGCTTAGCTTAAGTATGCAGCAACGCCCATCACATCTCGGGGATTTAGTGTAATTTGGTTCACAATTGTAGCGATAGTGGACGCTAGCTAAGGCTATGCAATAACTTTCTAGATGATGACTTGGTTTTGCAATTTCAACTACTTCTTACTTTGCTTTCGCCACTAACCAGCACTACCTTCGAAACTTGCTCCTTTTTGAAACCTCATTAAGTGGCAAATATTCTCCCTCACTGGAATGCAATTCTTTTTCCCTGAGTAAATAGCTTCGATCTACATGGGGTTTAAAGACACACTCTGCGACTGTAAGTCTCGGATCGAGGTCCAAACATGGAGTTTTAAGCACTGCCTGAATCTCTAGAAAGAATGGAGCAGAAGAGATAGTTGAAAACGCCCTCAATGAAGTCCGATTCATTTTATAGCGTAGTACC